CTGATGATGGAATGAAAACAAGCACTGTGACTGTCTGGCATATTTTGCAAAGGCTGTGTTAATGCCAACTTTCTATCTTCAAACCACATTTCAACCTCTCCCCACAACTTATCTGATTTTAATATTTTTTTTAAAATATGGTCTAAACACAGAATAACGGAGATCACTGAGGTGCATGGAATGACTAAACACAAGGCCACAGTGTTTACATAGAGTAAAGCATCACAAGGATTGGGAAAAAAAATAAATCACTAAGTACAAAAATATAGTTTGTCGATCTCAACTTGTTGGCTTGTGCCTCTGAAGTGCCATGCCAATCTCATTCAACTATGTTACCTCTACTTTTCACTAAATCACACCTGCATTAGCAGCATGCTTAATTAAGTACAACTAAAGTAAGACTTTTAAAATTAGTCCTAATGCTCACTTTCCAAAATTACTGCTGTAGTAAAATTTTTTAAAATTTACCAATATTAGTCTAGAAAAGCATAAAGAAAAAACTAAAAGACACCAACAATGTAAAGGATTGTATTTTCCAAAGCTTTTAACTGTTCAGAAATTGCTTATTTTAGGCTGATATTTTATTTAAATATCCTTTTCAAGATTATGAAAGCTGTTATGAAAGCAATTCATCCAACTAATTCATTTCCACTAAAATTCACCAACTTTTCCTAACAAAGGCACTTTGTGTTCCCTAAGTATTGTGGAAAAGGCATCCACATTGACATTTCATATAGAATATATATAACATACTGGCTTAATCATGTATATTTGAAATATTCTGTCAACTAAAACATTAAAACAAGATATAAGGTGCCAGTAAAGAATAAAACTGAAATGTACATCTACTTAATTTATTTCTTAATGACATGCTTGTGAAACCATTCCAACCAATTAAAGGGTTCTAAAAATATCAATCTCATGTCTTATCAGTCTAGTATGTCTCCACAATGTAACACTTGTATCAATATACCAGATGCATAAAAAAATAATGGTTTAACTTTAAATCGTGCAATCCCAGACATGCTCTGAGGATAGGAAAAAGTAGAACTGCTGCAGGCAAGGTGAACCTGTTCAGGTGGCACTAAGATAATTATCATTGAAGACAAGGTTTTTGAAACAAAACTTACTGAAATAATTTCCTTTTAGATGATAAAAGCAAGGGTGCTTCTAATCTTTGCTAGGGACTTTTAATTTTAGTTTAAGAAAAAAATGGAAATGCTTTAAAATATAGCCTCAAATGTTTTAAATAAAGCTTTTAACATGAAATCATAAAAGCAATTTTGATAATTTAAAACTATATTACATCTAAGCAAATCTGTATTTTACAATTAGAGTAATGCCATTTAATTTTAGGTACCTACAGGTGAGTTCACCCTTCGTTTGTTACCTTAGGACACATAAATGTACACCAGTGATTATAATACAGTGCGTATGTTAATATGCAAACTGCCAAGACCTGCCATCTGGAGAGCTAATGAACAATCAAGGGATCCCAAATTAAACTACAGAATTTTCCCTTAGAATCTTTACGACAACACTGTCAAGTTCAATCTATTCACTTAGCCTCCAGAATCAATTTTTCAAACTTTATGACAGGTCTAATAGTTTCCACCTGTTTCTCTTGCTTGACTTTTGACTGGCACGTTACCAGCCAGGGTGGAAATGCAGACAAAGACCCCTATTAGGCTCCGGCTGTTTCTCTACTGTGAGGTCGCTCAGCCATTAAATTAGTTCCAGCCCACTTTCTCCTTTCACGTCTTAATTTTTTGGGGGTAGGAAGGTTTGGGGATGTGAAAAGGAAGACAGACAAAAGTTTGACATTCAGTTGTTGGGAAAGGCATCACAAAATCTAAAATCACAAAAGTTAAATACTATACTTATTTATAATTTGCTAGACTAAGTAATTTACTAACTAAATTTACTACTAATCACACTAATTAAGTTCTTGAGGTGTCTGTATCACATTTTCAGTCATCACAAACTTGGTAAAATTTGAGACCCCTAGGAGAATCTAACACGTGGCACATGCTTATTGCAGTATATGATTACAAAAACACAGTATTGCCATTTTTTTTTCTGGGAATCACAAATGATCAATAGGTACCTATTTTTACTTCAAGCAAAGGAGCTATTTTTTAGTGAGATATGTTTTTCTGTCATTCAGAATTTGCAATTAGAAAAAAAGTTACATGCACAGATCCTAACAAATTCATATTGGTTTGCCCAGAAGTACCTTAAAAACAATAAAAACCTAAATAAAAATTACCTAATTGATATCTGCATCAATTCATATTGATTGATGAAATGTTATTGTCTGTGAAGTCTCAACCATAATATTTAGGACAAATATTTTAACTTATTAAAACAAGGTCTTTCTGCAAGATAAATTTAATTGTTCAAATTATAAACTGACTAGAATAATCTTCCCATTATAAACTGCTCAGTCTCAGGACTTCTAGTTTAATCTTACCTGAAAACTGACTATAAGTGTGCTGGTTTGGCTTGGCACATTTTTTGGTAGTGGGGGAGAGGCTCCAATGCTGGCTCCTGTAAGAAGCTGAAAAGTTCCCCCAGCTCCAATTCAGGTGGGAGCCACTAGAGAGACAATACATGTGACTCGGCGATTAACATATGAAAGATCTGATGTAAGACCTGAGCAGGGAGCAAGCTGAAGAGCTGAGCCAGAGAGGTGACAGCAGTGCCAGGGTGAAGATCTGGAGGTTGGTGAGGAAGAAGGGGAAGGAGGTACCCGAGTAGAAGTTTCCCTGCAGCCCATGGTAAGATGGCAGCTCTCCCCTTCAATCATGGAGGAACATGATGGAACATCCCCTAAAGGCGCCAGGAGGAGCAAATATGGACTTGCAGCCCAAGGATTTGGATCATGCAGCCATGGAAGACCCTGTGCCAGGGGAGGTGAAGTAGCCTGTGACTCTGTGGGAAGCCCATGCTGCAGCAGTTTACTCCTGAGGTACTCTCCCATGGGAAGTCCCTCGTGGGGAAATAGGGGAGGACTGTAAGGAATCTTCCATGAGGAGGAAGGAGCAGCAGAAAGCACCAGACTGAATTTAGTCTAAACCCCCTTCCCTGGACCCATGTGGAGAAGTAGGTAGAGAAATCAGGAAAAAAGTAATTGGGCTCAGGAAGAAGGGAAGGTGGGGGTAATGTATTTAAGCACTGACCTTAGTTTTGTCTGTGTCCTGTGTGCATTTGATTAGTGGTAAATTAAATTACTGTTTTTCCCCAAGATGAGTCTATTTTGCCCATGACTTTAATTGGTGAGTGAACCCTCCTTGTCTTTTGTCTCAACCCACAAGTTTCTAGATGGCTTTTGTCCTTCCCATCCCACATTGTGTATGGTGGGGGTGAGTGAGTGGCCATGTGGCTGGTTTTTTGTTGTCATCAGGTTAGGCCCAAACCATGACATGGAACTGCAGCATGATGTGGAAAATCTTCAAGACCTACATCTGCAAACACTTCATTACATTTGTGCTGCTCCAAGTAAAAAAGCAACCTGAGTGCTGACCACTCTTCTGGTACAGCACTTTAAAGAGAAAAGACAAGGGGTTCCACTGTCTATGAAAAAGCAAGGCCACCTCTCTTAGCTCCCTTGCCTTTCTTCAGAATATATATATTTAAATTGACCCAACATAGAATCATAAAATCATCAAGGTTGGAAAGGATCTTCAAGATCATCAAGTCCAACCATCCACCCTACAACCCCTAACCACTAAACCATCTCCTGAAACACCGTATCTACCCATTTTTTTAATACGTCCAGGGACAGTGCGTCCACCACCTCCCTGGGCAGCCCCTTCCAATGCCTCACCATATTTTCTGTGATTAAATTTTTCCTAATATCCAATCTGAGCCTCCTCTGGAGCAACTTGACCCCATTTACTATTGTCCTCTTGCTAGTCGCTAGAGAGAAGTGATGATACTATTTAGCTTGTGATATTTAAATAAACTCAAAAAACTCTGAATTATATTCTTTAGCGTACTGAGATGTGTGAATAATATTACTGAGAATCCCCACCAAGAACAACTGAAGAACAACAAGAAGAAAGGTCTTGATCTATTAAATTATCACTTTGCTGGTGTCTTCACAGTATTTCTGCTTTCAATCCAATAGGCTGAACATGTTGTGAATACTAAAAATTAAGAACTAAGTGCTACAAAAGCTTCTAAAAATAAATCTTTTCTTTGTGGCCTCCTACTGAACTAAAGAGCTGCAGGTAGAAACACATAGAAAAATCTGTCTTGAAAAGCAACAACTTCCCAACAACAGTTTTTTCCACCAGACTATTTCATGAAATGTAACAGTAGAGGTTTTGTCCATAAACTCCAACCTGAGATTAGTAACTCTGATTTTTATATAACTTAATCCCATTCAAAACTCTAATTAACTACCTCCTCAAAGGTATCCCACAACTCATTCACACGGGTCATCTTTGTGAGGATGAACAAATGTCTAGCATAAGCCTAATAGATGTTGAAAAAAACCCCAACAAACCCCTAAAGAACATCTTAATGAAATATTCAGTAAAAAGAATAGAAAAACCAGTAATGTTAAAATTGAAGACAATCTACTCATACCAGTTTTGGCAAATAACTACCTTAGAAAATAATTTATATTAGAAAATGCATGTGATCTCCTAAATATGAATATTTAAAACCTTACACTTTCCTATGTTGTTCTTCATGCTCTTCAACAGGAATAATGATCCAACACCACTGCCAAGTAAAAGAACTGTCACACTCAGATTTTCCCACCTTGTAAGGCTTAGCGTTTTATACATTACCAGTTAATATTCTGTGAACACAAAGTTCTCTATTTTGTGCCCTATTTAGAAGATAATTAGCTTTTTGTTTACTTTGCCTAGTTTGTAGACAACAAATAAATCAAAGAGAAAAAAGTTTCTTTCTGAATACTGTGTATTACAAAAATTGTGAATTCCAGATCAGAAAGCTTATCCAGTATGATCTAGATACTATCTTACCCATCTAGAAGATTCATTGTTGTTGTGGTAACTTCAGTAAAAAGCAGAATCTTCCCAAGCTTCTTTGTTTGAAGATTCTGCTGATATGTCTTCAGGCTGAAATGCTCCGATGAGAAGCTTCCCATTTCAGTGATGACTGGCATGAGAGATGGAGTTACCTCCATTTTTGATTCACAGGATGAAACAAATTTAAGAGACACTTTGCTGGATGCTCTTAATCCTTCTGTATCTACATTTCCCTCGAGCCATTTCAGAAAAGCAAGATGGATTTCCTGTGGACAAAGGAAATAAAATAAGGCATAGAAATACAGACCACCACATGTGAAGACACACAAACATTCTTCCAAGAACATTTTTATTCAAGCAACCACCTACTTCAAAATCAAAAAAGTTACTCAATTTGCTCTTCATAGATCAACTTCTGCAGTTGTTTTTTTTTCCAGCCTGGCCTAACTACTTGATATTCTTTTTCTAGACTTGAGATCATGCTCCTTTGAAGACTAACTAGGCTTAACCTTTCCCTATAACAGGGTTTGTAGTGCTTCTCCTAGATACTGAGGCATGGAGTGCACACATTTGTCTGCATTATGCAGGTCTTTCAACATGCTACCTTTCTTTGCTGGAAGCCTCTAGTCCATTGCTAAGTCTCAATCTGGAGAATAAAGCAGCCACTAAAAAAAACATTCACTGATTTCTCAATGGAATACCTGCTAAAAGGGCTCATACCTTCAGCTAACAGAAGCCTCGATACTAGCACCTTAAATATTGCCAAAAGTGGTTGTTATCTAGCCAGCTAAAAGAGAAATATTTAACTCAAGAAGACATACAACTAAGTCTACTAGCAGTCTATGAAATGCAGTTGTATGTATGTTCTGTTGTTCCTGTCCCAGACAATGGCACAGCTAGTACACATTTCCATGCAAAACATTTTAAAGGGAAATACATACATACATAGATAATTGTATACACCTATACGCCAAAACTGATTTTTCTCTCCTTTATTTTAGGTTAGTTAGAAATACATTTTTTTAAGATTAAATGAAGCAATTAATTACTGGGATTTTTACCCATCTGGTGACACCCTGAAACAACTGCTATACATTCATAGAACTCTTTCTGGAGATATCTAGTTCCGTATTGAGAGATTTTATATTAAATGTTTGCCATGTCTTTAGAAACAGTACGTTTTAACAGCCCACAAACACAGATGCTGGGACTTCTTTTTGCTAAGTATGTAGCTTAGATTTCAAAGAGCTCTCTTTCTAGTGACAAAGCAGTCTTTTATATGACATATGAAACGACAAAAATTATGTATTCTATTCTACTGAAAATAAGGTACTAGTGATACTTACCCTCAAATATTTAGGAGAAAGACATTCAACTTTTCAATTAAAAACTTGTAACACGTATATGCCTCTCCTTCCCATTACTGCCAAAAGTGCTAAAGACAGGACTAAGCTATCTAACTTTTTGAATAAAATATGCTTTAGGTATTTTATTCCTTTTTTTTAATATGCATCGTAAATGATGATGTGGCATTAAAGGTTTTATGAACACTTATCTTCACTTAGTATAAAATCATAGCTTTGACAGACTGCTGCTGAATTCTTTACACACTATCCTACTTGTTTTACATACACACTCACAGTGTAACTTATTAGCTGTAAGTGATACTTAGAAAAATTATAGCTTTCATACTTGTGAGGGAGGATATGGAAACTGTGCTTAATCAGAAAATTCATTTTCCTATTGCTTTCCAAACACAGAAATGCACATAACATAATTGAGCATGCAAGCCCTAGACACAGAAACATAATTTTGATTCACATAATGACAGGTTTACGGACTTACAGAAACAGACGTTAAATTAAAAAATAAAAATGTTTAAAGTATTATTACATTCTAAATAAACAATGAAAATAAACAAATAAACAATGAAAGTGCTCGATACCACGCCTCACAAAGTCTGGTGTACTTTTGCCACAGCATACTTTCTGAAAAGATTGAAATAGCTTACATTTATGTGTGACGTTCTGTTATTACAAATATGCCATACAATTCCTATAATTTATGCTCTTGGTTATATTAATTCAGGTGATTTTTTTCCCCCACAGTTTTTAGGTTTACTTCTTGTTTCAATTTTCTTATTTCTAACACGTACTGAACCATTTAAGAATTGTTACATATGTATAATTATGAAGCTAATTTTCCCCATAATGTACATATGTTTATTGAGCTGATCTAAAATATAAACATGAGTAATAATCAAAACCAGCATTTTATTTTTAAAAATATCTTTAAAAATGGTTTTTCATTTTTAGCAAATCAAAGTTTCAAGTGCTGTCCAAGTACATGCTATAAAAATAATTTTCACTTGTCTACACAAAATTACAGAAACACGGATGCTGAACCAATGCATTTTGGTCCCCACAATTATACTAGCACACAGACAAGTACATTTTTGTATAATGAAATAAACATATACCAGAAGTCAGGTTTAGCCTCTGCTTCAACTCCATTCGAAGGGAATATAATCACGTCAGAACCTAAACTGTGTGATTTGTTGATAAATTCAGGATTCAGCTTTGAATTCAAAACCTATCCCAGCTGGGTCCTCTGTTCTGCAGCAACCTCTGGTGGCCGTTTAAACGAAAAGTGTTGGTTCAGGGACTATGACCTTCTACATCTCAGGGACCAAATCAAGCATGTCAAGCAGAGAACCCAACACAGGGTAAGGGAATACCCAGACTCCCGACTACTGCTTACCCTGACCCCTATCAAAATCCTGAAACATGCAGCTACAAGCTTTAAATGAGTGTGCAATCAAAAGGATTGTAGCTCTTACACATTCATGCACAGACAACATTATCTGCAGCTACTTCCACTTACAATCATACTAAAATCTGTATTACACATACTGGTAATATACCTTGTAAATGTAACAACTACACTTGTTTTAGGGTGGCATAAATATATTCTGAAATTGCTACTCATTGTTACTGCATGATCAAGTCAAGCCAAATGTAATTTCCCGTAAAACTATTCATTTTTCAAATCACATTTTAGATGTACCTTCTGAAAAGTAAAGATGTTGCCTTCTTTCTTAAGGGAGGAACAAATTTGACATGGCAACCAAACAACTTTACAACAGGAGAGCAATTCAGCTTTTCACAGTTAAAATAACCAACTATAAATTTAATATTTATAGCAAGAGGTTTTTTCTATCCATATTTCATATGGTTAAAGCACAATATATTCTCAATGCATTGTAAAAAACTATTACCAAAAGCAGAATAGCACTATACCAACAGGAACTATTTTGATTATCAGACTGGAAGTGTCACTAAATGAAGTGTTGTTGAGTAGGCAGGGAGATATAGTGCATGTTAATTCACAAAAATACATAGAAATAGAGTTAAACTACTGCATTCTACATACCCTCAGCTGATCTGTACACAGGTTTATTAGGGGTCACTGTATCAAGGATTGGAAGTCTGACATTGCAAAATGTTGTACTGAAGCTTAAATAGTAATTGTAGTATAAAGAACAAAGAGTAAAAGCTGTATTTTGTTTATGATTTCACATGTGCTTTCTATGACTTTAAGAGTTTGGTCAGGTGTGGTAAGAAACTGCTAAGTAATGAAAGTTTTCTTTTCCTGTTTAAGATTATTTTTATTTTTTGAATAATTAATGTAATTTTTTCCTAACACTTGGCAGTTGAGATTGAACTAAAAGGAGAAAAGAGGGAGACATAAGAGACAAAAAACAGCTGCATATGGACCTGTATCTGTTGTGGTATAAAATAACAGAAAATTACAGCTCCTGATGGAGATGATTTTATTTGCACCTGGGCTGTATCAACCAATGAAACCTACTCACAAAGCACATAAACTTACAGTTGCAATGGTTCAAAGTAATCCAAAATTAATTACTTTATTCTTACATTCTGTTTATAAAGAGAGAATTTGTATGTATTTTTAATTTGTTATACATATGTTCATATACACAGCTTTATGCAAATATCTCTCTCATCTGGCATAATAGGGAGCTGTTCTTTTCTACCAAACTGTGTGATGATAGATCCTGAACTCTGTATCAGTAGAAATTGTTGTTAAGACAAAATTCATTCACAGCCTAAATTAATTTAATTTCTGTTAAAAACATGGAGACAAAACTGAATGAAAACTAAAAATATAATGCCATAAAACAAATATTATACATCAGTCAGCTCTCTCCTTTCTTAGGTGGAAAAATGAGACAATTTTAACTACCGATGCCCTGACACATGACTCACTGTTGTGACTATAATATAATGCTCTATTTCAGGTATATGAGGCCAAGTAATAGCATATTCACTGTCTGCATACATAGTTAGCATAAGACTTAACAATTTTTGTCCTTCCTTTGCATAAAATGAAATAATTTCCAATTAACTACCTCTATTTTTGCTTCACTGTACTTCAAAGAAGTTTGCAGTTGATGTATTGATTCATATACAATCAGCTAATGTACTGATTAAGTTACATACACATGTATGTTTATTAACTGCAAACAAGCTAAGATTACACTGGCATAAAGCACCGGTCTTCTAGAGGAGCACATGCATAGCCTATCTGGAGCATAACCACATTTATAGACATCACACCTTCAATCTGGCTAACCTGCTTTCTTTTCTGAATTGGCTGTTTTCAAATAAGTATTATTCAGTTCAGCTCTGATCTTAAAAGTATGTATTTCACAAGAGGTCTATAATTGCACTGATGGAAAAGAACATATTTTAATAAAGAGTGCACAGGATTTGGCATCTGATTTCAACTTTAGAATATAAAAATAAACACATGCATATACATATACACAAAAATATAACCCCCTTGTATTACACAGCTTTGCTCAACAGTGCCACAAGTTTAAAGGTGTTAAATTAGCCACTGGAGAGCTTCCACAGCATCTCTTGAATCCAACAGAAACAAACTGAAGTCCAACATGGTAGTAAGCTGTAGGCTGGCTCCAGCAAAACACACATCCATGGTGGCAACTCCAGCCTCAAATGCTAGTGACTTAGGAGGCCATCAACAGGAAAAGTCAGCTGTTAGCACAAGAGGGCAAAGTTTTTGGCATATATTTCTGACTAGTGAGGCACACAAAATGCTTTTCTGATGCTGCTTCTGTTTTTACTTCTGTAATAATGCCATACTTTGAGATCTGAAACATGTGACAGTTTCATAATACAACCATAGCCCCATTTTATAATTATGTTCATACTCAGCCAAT